GGGAGTCCAAGTGGCTTCTGCATACCAGGCGATAAAAAAGCTTAAAATGAATCATCTGGGGCTCTACACGCAGCATGACTTATGCCACTCAATGCCGCAACTACTACAGAGTGTGAAAAAAAAACAAAACAACAACAACAAAAAAAAGGGGTTATGCCAGTTACTGAACTACTGAACTTCATGTTCCCGATAGAGCTATAAACATCTTTGCGAAATTTCATGTAAAAATAAAGCTTTTATCAAAAGTTGTAGCTCATGAAATTAGAGGAACGAACTCTTGCGACACCCTGTAGAGCACTATCAGCTATTATATAACCCTGAGCGAGTTAGTGCGTTACATTCATCCTATTATCATTTATATTCAGTTGTTTGTGTTTTGCTTGAACCCATGAGTTTTCCCAAATTTCTTATCGTGGCGCAAAGCGTGCTTAAGTTGCTAAACAAACTTCTTAAAAGTAAAGCGCGGATGTCGCCCAAAAATGAGATTATCATTTCCATACTTTATATCTCCTATATTTATACCCTACATAGAAAGCTTACCGCAAATTACATCCCTAAATTTTTTACCTTCTTTTTAGGAAATTAACAAGAAGGATTGATGGCCCAACACCAAGAGCTTAAGAGAAAGGTAGATGTTCTTGAACTGCTGGAAAAACATGATACTCCACCTCTTGTTTCTATTGAAGTGCCCAAGATGTGTGACCTTCCTAACAAGTCCGAGCCTTGGAGCGATGATTGGCTCCCAGTTGACATTCTTTTGTTGACCGTGAAGGACTGTGAGTTCTTGGCATGTTACGCTTTCATGAAAAATCGCTTTAAAAGTTATCACAAAGACCTTGGATTTGTTTACTTTGGAAACGTGGGTGAAAGTGAGAGCGAACAACTGAAGGTCGCCCTGATGAAGTGTTGTGAAGGTTCTTCCGGTCCAGGTAGCTCGCTAATCGTCACCAAAAATGCAGTGGCGCAACTGAGACCTAAAGTTGTTTATTCTGTTGGCTGCTGTGAGAGTCTTAAACCAGACACGGTGAGGTTAGGAGATGTTGTGATATCCTCAAAGCTTTCTACCGAAGCCTTCAGAACTCCAGTGGGAAAAGATATTGGAAAACTCATTCAGCATTCAAGTGATGGCTGGAATCCACCATTGA